AAAAGAGAGGGCGGCCGGATATCCGCCACAAAGCATACCTCCTTCGGCCACCACCCCCGGAATCCGAAAGGTGGCTTCCAGAGATACACTCGTCGCCCGAAAGACACCCAAAGCTACTCCGGGATACCGGAGAGGGATCGGGACATCCCCAGGCGATCCAGATTCCACGACAAACTACGCCACCGCTAAGAACCTCAACGGAATGGGATGGACCCCGGTATCCTTTCCTCCACCTAGGAACTAGTGCGCCTGTGGGAGAAATCCCAAAGGACAAAAAGAGGAAGGGCAAAAGGGAGGGGTGGGGAGGAGGAGGAGGAAAGGAAAAAGGGGAGGATGGGATAGGGGAGGGGAGATTGGGGGGTAATTAGGTTCGGTCTGAGGAAGAAGACCGATAGGTCTAATTCCTCAGACCAAGAGCCTCTTCACCACGCCAAGGAGCCCCCCTTGAAGAGGAATATATTCATAAAATTAACATATACAAAGAATGAATTATTTGGTAATAAACTAGCAAAGAAAAATATATAGTAGAAGACTAAGAAAATTATAGATGCATAAAATGAACATACACAGAGTATGAATACACTGGAAAAAAAAATTCTTTATATAAAATAATTTGTTTGACATGGAATGACATAGAAAGCATATAAATCTACAGGGGAAGGAAGGCAAGGTAGGGGTCGTCCTCGAAAGGGTTGGAGAGAGGGGGTAAAGGAGGTTTTGTGGGCGAGGGGCTTGGACTTCCAGCAAGCGTGCGTGAGCGTGTTAGATAGGAGTGAATGGAGACGAATGGTACTTGGGACCTGACGATCTGTTGGAGTGTGAGCAGGGTAATATTTAGTGAAGAGATTCAGGGAAACCGGTTATTTTCATATAGTCGTACTTGAGTCCTGGAAATGGGAAGTACAATGCCTGCACTTTACAGGAGGGGTTTGGGATATTGGCAGTTTGGAGGGATATGTTGTGTATCTTTATACGTATATGCTTCTAAACTGTTGTATTCTGAGCACCTCTGCAAAAACAGTGATAATGTGTGAGCGTGGTGAAAGTGTTGAATGATGATGAAAGCATTTTCTTTTTGGGGATTTTCTTTCTTTTTCTGGGTCACCCTGCCTTGGTGGGAGACGGCCGACTTGAGAAAAAAAAAAAAAAATTATTTGAATATTTGCAATGATCACAACTGCATATCAGCATTCATAATTCATTACTTAGTTCCAAAGTGTCCCAATCATAAGCACAGACGTTTGAAATGTGGATGGTCTTAAGTCGGGCCCTACTGTACATAGTAAATGACTTGCTCGAGGGAATTTAAAATTCTGAAGTATGTGGTTGTGGGTAGAATGGTTGAGGAAGGAAGGTGGGTGATGCAATGAGGCATCTGTGAAGACAAAGAACCTTATCCATGGAGGCAGAAAGGGCAACTTACCAATGTATAGTGGTACCAACACTGAGTGTGAACCATGGGTTTTAACCCTTTCAGGGTTTTCGACATACTAGTACAGCTTACACACCAGGGTTATTGATGTACTAGAACGCCTAAATTCTAGCGCCTTCAAATCTAGCGAGAGAAAGCTGGGTCTATGTGGTCAGTGTGCACAGTATAAAAAGAAATCCTGCAGCACACAGTGCGTAATGAGAAAAAAAACTTTGTGTTTTTGGATTAAAACAGTGACTTTGCGCTGTATTTTTGTATAATATTTATGGTTGTACTTATTCTAGTTTTCCTGGTCTCATTTTATAGAATGGAAGACATATTACAGAAATTGAGATGATTTTGATTGGTTTCACAACGAAAAGTACCTTGAAATTGAGTTCAAAGTAGCAGAAATGTTAGATTTTTATCAAGTTAAAAAGTAAACAAATCATGCCAAGCGTCCAATACACGTCAACTGGTGAGTCTAATATTCTTTCACAAGTGCGCTGATATTATTTATACTATTTCTACACTAATGCAGTAAATCCTCTATTTTTTGTAAGAATAAAAATTCAAAGTGGAAAGCAAAAGAAATATAAGAGGGACCTGGGGACATGACTAACAAACAGAGAACTTGTTATTTTAGTGCCAGGAATGTCTGTTGTGTTTATTCTGGACCCTATTTGGAAATTGGCATCTTCTGAAATTTGTGTGAAATTGGCAAAATTGACAATTTCTAACCACTTTATTGGATAGTTGAAATTGGTAAATGGGTGGTTTCTTGTACTCATTCGATAGAAAAAATGGAGTTCTAGCAAAATGAATGATTTTTGTCGACTAGTACACAGGAATTGGCCGAAAATAGGGCTCAAAGTGGGCAAAATTGCCAATACGTAAACATCGGCAAGACTGCTAACTTCGTGGAGCATAATTCCCTAAGTTTTCCATCAAATTTCATACTTTTGGTGTCATTATGATTGGGAAAAGATTCTCTATCATTTCATCAGAAAATAAAAATTTTTCCGAAAAATTTTCAACCCTGAGAACAAGTTTAGGAGATAGCCTCTCGACCCTGAAAGGGTTAAATGTCACAGCAAGGAGGAGGCAATGGAGAGGTCATGTTTGAGGGCAGTGTGTGGACTGAATATTATGCAAAGAATTTGGAGCTATGAGATTAAAAGGTGTGGGGTTACCAAAAATATTATTCAGAAGAGAGAAATTGTTGAGGGGGATTGGACATTTATGAAGGATGAAGGAAAATAGGGTGACTAGGACAACATGTAAATCTGGGGTGTTGGGAAGAAAGGGTAGGTGTCATCCTCAAAGGCTGGAGGGAGTAAAGGAGGTTTTGAGAGCTAATGGTCTGGACATCCAACAAACTATTGCAAGTGTGTTAGATTGGAGGCAAGTGGTTTTTATGATTTTGACATGCTGCTGGAGTGTAACGGTGCTGTACAACCCTTGTAGGTTTAGCACTTCTTTTTGATTATAATAATAATGTTGGAGTGTAAGTGAAGTAACAGTTATGCAGGGACTTGGGAAAACTGATTAACCAGACTTGAGTTCTGGAGATGGAAAGTACAGTCCAGCACTCTCAAGGAAGGGTGGGGATACTGTAGTTTAAATGGTCATCTGAATTGTGATATCAGTACACTTCTGGGAAGACAGTGATTGAATAAATGACTGTGAAAATGTTTTTGTTTTCTTTTTAAGGTCACCCTACCTTGGTGGGAGATGTCCAATTCATTTGAGTTGTAATAGCATGGATACTTTTTTTCTTTTAATACACTAGCCATCACCCATCGAAGGGTGGCCCAAAAAAGAAATGCTTTCACCATCATTTACACTATCACTGTCTTGCCAGAGGCGCGCAGATATGAGAGTTCCGATGTCCCTCCAAACAGCACATATTCCAAACCCCTCTTTAGAGTGCAGGCACTGTACTTCCCACCTCCAGGACTCAATAGATACCTATGATGGCTAATGTCTATGAAATTTAGCATTCCAATAAATGTACTTCCAATACACTGGTGGAGCTGGACTCAAAACATGGAACAGATAATTCTTATGTATGTGCATACTGTACTACAATTTGTAAATAATTTTATTGCTCCCACACTTCTTAACCCTTTCAGGGTCCGTGCCATAGATCTACGACTTTACGTTCAGGGTCCAAACCGAATTCTACGCCATGAGCTCAGCTCACTCTGATAAGCTGTGAGTGGTAAATTTGGGCCCAGATATGAGAGAATACATCTAAATGGTATGTGTACACTACACAAAACAAATCCTGCAGCACACAGTGTATAACGAGAGAAAAAAACTGAGACCGTGATTTTCAATTAAAACAGCAACTTTGCAGTGTTTTTTCGTATGTTTTGTATAGTTGTATTTGTGATTTCTTGGTCTTATTTGATAGAATGGAAGACATATTACAGAAATAGAGATGATTTTAGCGCTGGAAATGGCTTGAAACTGAGCTCAAAGGAGCAGAATGTTACATTTTTGTCAATGTTCAAGAGTAAACAAACGGCCTCGCACGTCTAATACACGCCAGCTGGTGGATCTAATATACATTCACAAATGTGGTGATGATATTTATACAATTATTACAATATTGCATTACAGTAAATCTTCTATTTTTTGGTTTGAACAAAAATTCATTATGTTAATAAAAAATCAAAATGGAATTCATTTGTAAAGCCTCAAAACGTAACTAATGAACAGAGGAAATGTTAGTTTAGTGCCAGGAATACCTACATTGATTATTCTGGACCCTATTTTGAAATTTTAATATTTTGAACTTGGTGTTAAATTGGCCAAATTATCAATTTCCGATCACTTTATTTTGTAGTTGAAACAGTTGACTTGGCAATTTCTTGTGCTCAATTGATAGAATAGAAGTAATACTAGTGAATTAGCTAAGAATTTGGTCCACTAATAATGTAACTGGCCTAAAATGGGAGTCAAAGTTGGCAAAATCGCCGATTCTTAAATATCGCTGACACATCAAAATTCGCGAGAGCATAATTTCATCAATTTTCCATCAAATTTCATACTTTTTGTTTTATTACCTTCAGAAAAAGATTCTCTACCATTTCATAAGAAAAAATAACAAAAAATTTTTTTTTAAATTCTTGGACCCTGGTGTGCACTTCAAAATTTGGCCTCTGAACCCTGAAAGGATTAATTGCAATTTTCACAATTTATAAGTTACAGAAAAATCAATAAACAAATCAGGTATTCTACTAGCAATGTGTTGTTCAAATACATATTGTACAAGAACTTATTGTAGATTTACCAAGATCTGTAATTTGGAATATGCTTCAAAATTCAGAATTTTCCAAATGATCAAAAATGTCAAAGAAAATCTTGATTAGTTGACATTAAGACAATTTAATGCACAAATTCATCTGAATAAGATAAAATATCATAATGATATGGGAAAAAAATATAATGATATCTGGCTTCCATTACAAAACAACTTTATTGCTACTGCACTTGCAGAAATGTTTTTATACATACATAGAACAGTTGCAAGATTAATTCAAAATAATAATAAAAAACTAACTTTTAAGTCACATCTTACCACGTTTATAACTTCTCCATAATGATCGCCTGAAAGACATCATCACACCACCAAAGTATCTGTTAGTTGGAACTGGCTTGTACTGTATTCTACCTGTAATTAGAGTTAAAAATATCTCAATTTAACAACCAAATACATATTGAAATCTTTATGTATTAAATATATACAGTATATATAAATTCAATAAAATCTTTGTTGTGCCTTACATAAGTTTATAACAATAACTTTGATCACCAACACTCAGCTCAAACCAAGTTCTTTCAGGCTAACACTTGAATGTATTTTAAATGAACAAAGAATTATATAAACATGTAACCGTTTCATTAAATATATAAACAAAAATATTTATTTTAGAAAATGGCATGCACAAAAACCAAAAGCAAGTCGCCACTACTAAAAATCTACATTCCTTTACTTGAAAAAAACGAAGTAACATTGGCAATACAGTACAACTATGAAAAGCAAAAATAAAATCTGCTGAGTACTCCATGCTCTGCACCATTTACAATCACAAAGTGAAAATTGTGCTCTGTACTTGAAGCTCTAAATTATCATTCGAAAGTGATGAAGTAAATTGACGACTATTGTACCTTACTATAAATAACTATTATCACTGCCCCAATGCCAATTACATTATTTTCAAAATATTTGTTAACTAATAATTATCTAGAAATAACAAAAAATAAAGTTGTATACAAATTGTGTTGAAACACAAAGTACTGGTCCGGACCCGGGACTGGTTCCAAACAGTTTCGTTGGACAATAAAGCAGACTGTAAACGTATGGGTTTGTAGCGCCCTTAAAAACTCAAACATTTAAAAATCAGAACGTGACTACGCTGTCCTCAATATACAAAAAGAGGTGTAGAACCAGAAATACAAATAGCTAGAGCTTCATTTAAGGTTATTAATATAATATTCAAGAGGTTGCTAGTAGAATTGCAGTAAATCAACCATTCAAATCATTATGAAGCTGTGTGTAGTCTGTGGTCAGTCAAACAAACGGGCTTCCACATGGATAATTGTCCAATTTTTTGGGGGTTTGGGAACGCTTCCTTGTGCAGATATCCAGAACTAGCTACAAGCAGTATTAAAAAAACAGAGAAGTGTTTTGGGTATGCCCAAATTGAGGAAAATCTGTGGTCTAAAATCACAAGGGTATTAAAAGAGAAAACATCAAAGCTGCTTTCATAGAAAACCTGGAAGCTTTTCTACAACAAGGGGAACATAAAAGTCTTGGGGCTGAACGGTACAGCCCTTGATACTGGCCATGAATTCACAAACTGTAAGGCTGGTAGGATGTCCTGGTAGTCCAGTAAATGTGGGGCCTGATAGTGCTGTCCTGGGAGACAGTAAGGTGAAGCTGGAGGTGCAGTCCTGGGAGACCGAAAAGGTGGAAGCGGAGATACTGTCCTTGAAACATTAATGTGTGAAAGCTGGAGATTTTGTCCCAGGTAGTCCGGATTATACGCAGGAAGGAATACATATAAATGACCTCATAGAGACAGAGTCCAAAGTAGGGAAACAAGTGTAGTACAAAGATAAGATAAAATCCAATATTGCAACCTAAAATAGACCTGCGAGGAAATACAAACAAGAGGCTCCAATAGCAATAGTTGAGGATAAATTACCAAAAACAACTGGTGGGAGCTCCATTGTTGGTGCTAGGGAGGATAGGAATAAGACAGGGAAACATGCACCCACAGGGAATACAGTCAACAAAACCCAAGTCAAACGGAAACCAAGCCTGGTGCACATACTATTGCACTTGGTATCTTCTGGCAATGGTAAACTGGAAAACAGATGGTACATCAACTAAGACCACCCTAAAAAATGTCCTGCCCATCCTGACAAAGCAGGAAAATGCAAACTCCCTTCCTGTAGAGCTTTTGGATCCCTGTAAATGTGTACCCTTCATACAGGAAAGACTGGTGCTTTCACATAAATTGCCCATGCAAACACCATCTAAAGGGACAAAAAGATAAAAACATCCAGGCCATGGGAAAACCTGGGATAGCCACAGCCACTCAAGAGGGAGAGGGTTTATTAGTGCCAGGAAGGAAAAAAAAAACCTGGCCGGAAATGGCAGAAATCGTACACCAAACCAGTCATTCCAGGAGTTGAACCACAGTCATGGCCTCCACTCCAAACCAACAGATACAGATACAAATTGGCCGGAAAAAAATCCCCCCCCAGTACCCAACAATACCACACAGTCCGATAACATTCTATTTTGCAAATATACAGGGTCTAAAAGCCAGCAACAAACAACAAAATTACCTTTCATCCGAGACTGGCTGTGCAGAGGGCCAAAGGCAATGTTCGCGGCTTTCACAGAGACCCACAAAAAGGCTCACTTTGGACAACGAAATATGGATCCCCAGGTTACAACCTATACAGATGTAGACAGAGTGAACAGGCAAAAGGGGGGTTTGGCCTGTACTATGCAGAGTCACTTTTTTGCACAGAACTGCTTAATGCCTCAAAAGGACCGTAGTGGAAGTTTAAGCAGTAAAGGTCGAGAACCAAAATCCAGCAATGTGGTAGTCTACAAGCCTCCGTATGCAACATCCCAGCATTCCAGAACAGCTGTTAAAAAATGGACGCACTGTCTGGAAATATTTCCAGCTCCTGCACACCCCAACATCTTGCTCCTTGGGGATTACAACATAGGCAACCTAAAATGAGGAATATAGCAAATAATATTGTACCATTAAAACCACCAGGAGGCCAGCTCCTGATGAAAACTCACACACACAACGAGCTTTTAAATGCTCTGCACAAACTTAATTTAAATCCAGCAAAAACAAGAGCTACTATACTGGAGAATACCTAGACCCTCATCTTTCACTACCAATGATGATCTTGATAAGAAATGTCACCATAGTCAAAAACAATATACTCAGATGCCAAACATAATTGAGGTTCAGACATTATGGGTGGAGCCCCAGACCGACAAAATGAGACTATCACGAGGGAGCATTCAAAATTCAACTTCAAATAACAAAACATAAAGTGGGACCCAAGTAAACAAAGTCCCTAACCGATATAAGCTGGGAAGATAAACAAAGCAAACACGGACGAACCCAAACTTATGCCTAGAACAGATTATCTACGGTGGCACGTCGAGTATGCACAAGGTCTTATTCCACTAAGAAAAAGAGGAGTGAGATTGTAAAATATAAAGAGACAGGCGCTCCCTTTACACAGCTACGGAAAAGAATAACAGAGCAGCTAAAAAGAGGTCAATACATCTGAAATGCGCATGGAGACACTGGTCAGAGAACATAGCAAAGCATCGAACTTAACTAAAAGAATTCCTTTAGGAGTCGGAAATCGCGTGAAGAACTAAAAGCCATAAATTAAAATCGAAAGACACCCAAGTAATTTTCTCACCTATGCCAAAAATCAAAATGAGAACAACGTCCGTTATTGGGCCGCTCTGACATAACACATAAGGGTCCTACACAGGATGAAACAACAAGGAAATGATTGAGTCTACTCATCCCAAAAAGACCAGTTTTTAGCAAGCCGCTAACCAGAACTTGAGAGTCGAAGATCAAAATGAATTTGTTATGATAGATCCACAAAATTTGATTAAACACAAGCCTATCCGATGTTACCCTGACGCCAAAATGACTTCGAACAAGGCGATAAATACTCCCATGCACTCTGCCCCAGGGCCTGACACATGGAAACTCTGTGTTCATCAAGAACTGCAAGAAGCCCCTATCACGAGCCTTTTCCATCCAATGGAGAGGAGCCGGGTGGACACGGGGTCGTCCCACATTTACAAAAACAACAGACATAGCCCGCACTCCACAAAGGGGGCAGTAAAGCCAACAGCAAAGAACTACAGAACCTATAGCACTAACAGCCCATATCATAAAAATCTTTGAAAAGGACCCTAAGAAGGCAAAGATCACCACCCATCTAGAAACCCATCAGATTACACAACCCAGGGCAACATGGGTTTTAGAACAGTTCGCTCCCTGTCATTCCTCAACTACTGGATCACAACGGCAAGGTCCATAAAGCACTAGAAGACAAAAAGGAATGCAGATTAATATATACGACTTTGCAAAATCCTTCGACAAGTGTAAACCATGGCGAAATAGCGCAACAAAATGCGCGCTAAGGAATAACAGGGAAAAGTCGGTCGATGTGATCTATTAATTTCCTCACTAACAGAACAACAGAGAGTAGTTTTCGTCAACAGAGTAAAGTCCGAGGCACTACGGTGAAAAGCTCTGTTCCACATGGCACAGTACAGCTCCCATCTTGTTCCCTCTCCCTCATATCCGACAAGACAAGGAAGTCATCCACAGCAACCGTTCCTTCCTTTGCAGATGACACCCGAATCTGCATGACAGAGTCTTCCATTGCAGACACAGCAAGCTCCATGCGGACATCAACCAAAATCTTTCAGTGGGCTGCAGAAAACAATAGAGTTCAACGGATGAGAAATTTCAATAACTCAGATATGGTAAACATGGAGAAATTAAATCTCATCAGAGTACAAACAAATTCTGGCCCACAAAATAGAGCGAAACACCTACGTCAAAGACCTTGGGAGTGATTATGTCGGAGGATCTCATCCGATCAAGGAACCATAACATTGTATCAATTCGCATCTGCTAGAAAAATGCAGGAAAGGAATAATGAGAACTCTTCAAAACTAGGGAGGTCCAAGCCCCAGATGACACTCTTCAGGTCACTTGTTCTATCTATCTATGCTGAATATAGCTGCACTCTAACACACCTTTCAAGCAGGATGAAATTGCCGACCTGAGAAAATGTACAGAGAACTGTCACGGGCGCGCATAACTGAGATAAAACTACCTCAAATTACTGGGAGCCGCTTGAGTTTCTAAAAACCTTGTATGTTCCCTGGAACCTCAGGAGGGGAGAATACATATTATAGACACCTGGAAAATCCTAGAGGGACTATGTACCGAACTTGTCACACGAAAATCACTCATCTACGAAAGCAAAAGACATGGCATAACGATGCAGCACCATCCCCCAAAAGAAAAGCAGGGGGTCACTAAGCAACGTTAAGAGAGACCATACAATAAGTGTCTAGGGGCCCGA